GCAGTACCCCATCGACGACTACCTGAGCAAGGGCGAGTTCTCCAAGCTGCTCAAGGAGATGGCCCAGCCCTTCCTGCACAACACCAAGCCGGTGAGCTGGTGGGATCCGTCACAGAACCGTGGGGTGGGTGGGTGGGAAGGCTGGGCCGGGTCGCTCCAACCCGATTCCAGGGGTGGAAGAGCCTTTTTTTTGGGGTCAGGAGCTTCCCAGAGGGGGAAAAAAAGGGTGTTGTTCCTCCTGGGATTCAGCCCCCCCCCAAGCTGAGGGAGGGAGGGAGGGAGGGCTGAGCTGATTGCTGATTTCCACGTGGTGTTTTTTCCTCCAGCCCAAGGCGAGCACCGACGAGTACATCGCCCAGCTCTTCGCCAAGGCCGACGGCAACCGCGACGGGCGCCTCAAGTTCACCGAGTTCCTCACCACGCTCTGCCTGGTGGCCATCGACGCCCACAACAGGTCCCACCAGGGCCCTGGTGGGGACCATGGGCATGACCATGGGCATGATCATGGGCATGATCATGGGCATGACCACGGGCATGACCACGGGCACGACCACGGGCACGACCACGGCCGCCGTCCCCGCAACTGAAGCGTCCCCCCGCGGGGTTTCTGTGCCCACGGGGATCTGAAATCCCAGCACATTCATCGTCCCTTCCCTGCCACCCAAGCCCTGTCAGCCCCTTCCCCCCGTGGTGTTGAAATAAAACCCTTCGCTCCGAGCACCAGATGGATCCGTGTTTCGTGTCCTGGGTGGGGGGGCTCTGGGGGTGGGTGTGATTCCCACCCAGCCCGTGGTTGGGGTGGGTTAAAAGCAGATTGAGCTGGAGGAGAGGAGGGAAAGGGGAAGGTGGAACAGGAGGGTTTTGCTCTGGGCAGGGGGGTCAGATCCCAGTGTGCCTGGTGGGTGGTTGGTCCCACCACCCTCTATCTCAGCAAGACAGCGAGTGTGTCCTTGGTAAGGGCAGATGGAGCATTCCCAGCCCTGCTCCTTCCCAGATCCCCTTTGGATCAGCTCCAGGACACAATGGGGGGAAGCAGCAGAGCATTCCCAGCCCTTCTTCTCCCAAATCCCCTTTGGATCAGCTCCAGGTCGTGCCAGGGGGGTAACAGAGGTGGGGTGATGCACAGGAACATCCCCAACCCTCCATCTCCCAGTCCCCCTTTGGATCAGCTCCAGGACACAACGGGGGGAAGCAGCAGAGCATTCCCAGCCCTCCATCTCCCAAATCCCCTTAGGATCAGCTCCAGGATGTGCCAGGGGGGTAACAGAGATGGGGTGAAGCACAGGAACATTCCAAGCCCTTCTTCTCCCAGATCCCCTTTGGATCAGCTCCAGGAGGTGCCAGGGGGGTAACAGAGGTGGGGTGAAGCACAGGAACATCCCCAACCCTCCATCTCCCAAATCCCCTTTGGATCAGGATGTGCCAGGGGTGAAGCACCACAGCATTCCCAGCCCTCCATCTCCCAGATCCCCTTTGGATCAGCTCCAGGAGGTGCCAGAGGTGAAGTACCAGAGCATTCCCAGCCCTCCATCTCCCAAATCCCCTTTGGATCAGCTCCAGGCCATGCCAGGGGTGAAGCACAGCTATTTGGGAGGGGTCCTCCCCCAGGTCCCTGCCGAGCCCCAGCCCTGGAGGTGCCACATCCTGGGAGGTGCCCGTGACGCTTCTGCAACCCCCAAAGCAACCAAACGACCCCAGCCCGGCAGAGAAGGAGGCCGAGGGGCTCCAGGAGCTCTCCAAAGGGTCACACAAGTCACAGAGGTGTCACAGAGGTGTCACAGAGGTGTCACCCAGAAGGTCACAGAGGTGCCACCCCGGTCACACACGCAGGGCGGTGACTCTGCACGATGAAATTGGGTGGGTTTAGAGGGTGGGGTGATGCCCCCCCCCCCCCAAAAGTCCTGGCACTTCTCAAGGTCACTGTGGGGGAGGAGGGGGCAAAAAACCAGGAG